CAATCAAAAGATTGATGGGGATGTCATTGGTTCTCAAGTGCAAAGCGCTATTCAGGTACAAATACTGAATGAGATATTTTCCATATGGCAATCTAATGGCCACATGCAAGTTTGCAATCATTAGTGGCTGCTTGATAGTATGTAGACTATAGGTGAAAATCATGCATGTACATAGTGTTGACAAGTTTTAGTATACGGCTTCTTAACATAAGCATAAATGTTCTGGAATGTGTAGGTTTATGAGGAGGCTCTGGAAAATGTGCGTTCGGGCATGATGTTTGATCTGTACATAAAGTTTCTGATGGATGTTATTTCTCCTAGAAGTGGTGAAACTGGAGTTTTGGAGTTAGCTAGTTATACTGCAGATTACATTACACATCTGCAGGGAGTTTATCAAAGGGCGGAAACAATAGGGTGCATGACTGAGGATCTTGCTTGCAAATATATTTCTTTTCATCTGCAACTTGGAAGATTGCATGATGCCAAGCAACTAGCTGAGAAGCTTTGCTGTGGAAAATTTTCAGATTCGATAGAGCTATGGCTTTTAAGGGCCTCAATAGAAGTTAGATGTCTTTCGAGGAATTTTCCATCCTCAAGTGAGGCTGATATACATTCTATATTTAAACTCCTAAAGGGTGTCTTAATAAAGGTGCCAATTTCAGAGGCTGAGAACTTATGGCTGATGGTATGTTGTCAAATTCCCTGAGTTTTTGTTTTCTTGCCATTTCAAGGTTCCAGATGTGAATGGTAATGGGTGACCATTTTTTTGTATCATGTGCATTCGGGGCTTTGGTCCTCTCATGATCTGCCAATCCGTTGCTTAATACAGTTAAATTAACAAAGTGGTCCTGTTATCAAAGCCCTTGTTCAATAATTGTCCTGCTCAATGACTTCAGTTTAATCTCTGTTATTCTGTGTTGCAGGTCCTTAAACTTTTCATGAATAAGAGAAAATATTTTGACAAGCTGGTGGAGATTTCTTTTGTTTCGATAGTTAAAAATCTTGACAGTGAAAGTGGATTTTCTCTCTCCTCTGCAATCACAAATTTTGTTCTTCAGAAGGATGGAATTCAGCATGCAAGGGAGATGTATAAGCGGTATGTTTCTACGTGATGTATCATGAACTATTAAGCACTGTTGCCAAGACTTTTCTTAAGATCATAGTTAACTGGCTTATTTCAAAAGAAAGATCATAGTTAACTGGCATTACCTTTTCTGTATGCATATATTAGAGGCTGTAATTTGTAATGGTAAAATTACCTAGACGGTCATTGTATTTGTAAGTCCAAAAATTATAATTCGTCGTCTTTTTTCGCTTCTATAAGTTTCTGATCTCATGTGTTCTTTGGTTTGCAGATTTCTTGCCCTACCCCATCCAGGTCTTATGTTATATAGAAACTGCCTTGAAATGGAAAGAAGCCTTGCATCTCTTGGTGATAAAGATTGTCTGATGAATGCCCGGAAGTTATATGAATCTGCACTTGCAAGTTATGACCAAAACGTGAGCTTGTGGCGAGATTACTATGCTATGGAAGCTAAGGTAAGCTTTTGCTGGTCTACTTGCATGCATCAGCAGGGTCGAACCTTCCTATCCATCTCTTACTTTCTTGTTGGTGCATCACTGTAAGTTCTTGATATACGTTGTTGCCAAACCCAACTAAACATTAAGAGTTAAGAGTAAGATTTCCTAGAAAATTATGAGAAAATCTCGCTACTGTTTCTTACTCAATTAGTATCATAAGAATTTTTATACATCTTGTTTGGTTAATTCCTAATTTGATCATACTTTATTCTGGCATTTAAATTTGTTACTAGTCTCAGTATATTGAAGTATGACA